GGGGAAGGGGGAGGGGGGGGAAGAGGCAGTCGTAAAATTCAACTAAACAAAGTCACTAAGTGCTGTTACATTGTCAGAATGTTGACAGGAATGATCCTGCAAAGATAACAGGCTAGTTGTAAACAAAAAAGAACAAATAATTGCTGAGCACCTGTCAGATGACAACCACCAGATGACAACCACCCGGGCTGGCCCTTAGACAGGAAGGGGGAGGGGGGGGAAGAGGCAGTCGTAAAATTCAACTAAACAAAGTCACTAAGTGCTGTTACATTGTCAGAATGTTGACAGGAATGATCCTGCAAAGATAACAGGCTAGTTGTAAACAAAAAAGAACAAATAATTGCTGAGCACCTGTCAGATGACAACCACCAGATGACAACCACCCGGGCTGGCCCTTAGACAAACCCTGTGAGCCCCATAGGATGATCACTTTTATAGAGGGAGAACTGAGCTGCAGGCACATGAAGTCGCTGGCCACACAACCGTGAAATATTAGTGTAGATTTGCGTTCAGGTCTTCTCTTCCTCATTCAGAACCCTTTCTACTACTGCAGATACCTCAACAGGGCTACTTACTTGGTACATCATAGATATTTAGTAAATATTTGCAAAATAAAATCTTGGCCACATTCTTTTCTACTCTACGACAGTTTGGCAGTGGCGAAAAAGACCAAGAACAAATTCACTTACTTACCCTGGTCTTGGGAGGGCCTGGCCAGATTCATGTCCTCAGGACAGGCCTTTGCTGCCATCTCATCAGTCATGGTCTCCTGCAGTTGAGCCACCATGCTCCTTCTATCTCTGTGGCCGGCAGTTATCTGGATATCTTCCGGTGTCACCTCATAAACATCGACCTACATATGTAACAGGGAGGGTACTTATCCAAACCGTCCCTTATTTCTGTGTGCTGTCCTTCCTTCCTTGTTTCTTTCCTTAAGAACAACAATCATTTATTATTTATTGTTCATTATTTAAAGCTGTCTTACTAGACTCCTGGTTTTATGAGGGCACATGCCATGTCCTTCCCTTGCCTCTACATGGCCAGTGAGTTCCTGGGATTGAGTCAGTCCCAAAAGATACAACACAGCAGGGACTGCAAGACCAGCTCTTTATGTATCCTGTCTAGTCCTCTTGATAGTTTAGACAGATTAAATAGATAGTCTCAAGTCTTGTGGTTAGTAATCTACAGAGGAGGGACCTGGCCTCAAAACCCTGTGCCCCTGACTGCTCAAGGAAGCTGGGCATGCCTTCTCTTTTCCTTCTGTTTGCCTGAAACTATGTCTTTCCATCCACCACTCTTCTGTTCCTTCGTCCTTCTCTCTGTACTTCCCTCCAGTGTTTGTCAAGCACGTACTACAGGAGGGAAAGCACAGATCTGGAGTGGATCTGGAGTAGATGCGCCCTCGACGCTGGTCACTTGCTGAAAACTAGTGTAATGTGATGCACATTAGTGAGAGAAGTCTTGCTTATGGCCATGGAAACAGGACAGGGAGGGTGACTGTCTTGGCTGGGAGATGGGGCTGGGGAAGACTTCAAAAGCCAAGATTTACTAAACTGTGCTGTGAAACACAGCACAGAGATTGACAGAGGGGACAAAGGAAGGCCTGCAAGATGAATCAGTATGAGCACAGGCATGAGGGTATCTGGAAAAGCATTAGTGGCCTCACTAGTGTAGCATGGAGGGTGCTGAGGGAAGTAGTGAAAGAAATCAGGGAGGAGGCAGAAGAAAGAATGGAGATGAGGCTAAAAGACAAGACACAGCAGGGCTGAGTTTCAAAGGGTCTTAGAGGCCAGGCTGAGAGTTTGGGCTGGATTCCTTAGTTATGAGATGCATAACTAAGCTTTCCAAGCAGGGAAAATCCTGATTAGATTTATAGCTCAGGAAGATCTAGGTAGATTGGCTTAAAGAGATAGAGGAAAGAGAAGAATTAGACCATTTTTGGCCATCTAAGTATGTTCTAATTGCCAAATGAAAATGAGACGATACTGTCTTACCCACCACTGGACAGGAGACACGAGGGTAGACTATGATGTCACATTTCAAAGTATTTGGAGAAAGCTAATATAATTAATAAATATAAAGCATAAATTCTTCTGGGTTTTTGGTGGGATCATGGGCAAACTGTGTGGAGAATAAAGGAAGGTCATTAAGTCATAGGGCCCAAAATGCAATTTTTAAATGGGGGGAAAAGTGACAATAAAGTAATGAAGACAGTGCTTCCTTTGGTGTGACCCCTTTGAGCAGCAGTGCACTGATTACCTCAGGGCTGCCCCGGGGAATCTTCTGCAGAGATAGCTTGAATCACAGCAGATTGCATGTTTCATCCCAAAGACTATTACCCAGCTACACCTTCCACTCCATCTGCCTAATATAATCCTAAGAAGACAATAACTCTTAAGAATTTCTAAACTGCAACCCACTCCGTAAAAGAATGACCTTTTAGTGGTACCCTGACCCCATACCAGGCTCCCACCATTTAGCCAGCAATAAAAAAGAGCCCACCCTGCTTTTTTTCCAGTTTACTTCCTTCTCATACACTCCGCATCAGCCCCCTCCTGAGCTCCACTATTAACACTTTCATGCGGATCATCACATTTCCTCCCCGGCCTTGACGCCCAGTGTCGCTCCCTGGCCCTAGACCTCGTCTTTCTTCATCACTGACATTTCTGCCCTTTGAATTACATGGCTCTGTGATATTCTCTCTACACCAGCCTTGTCCTGGGCTGGTTCCTGGGCCTACACACTAGTTCCAGCCTAAACCACCACCATGCTGCTCAGTTTACCCCAGCCCTGCAGGGAGCATTGAGACCCAGCTTCTACTAAAAGAGAAACCATTTCAAGCCAGCATTTCCAATGCTTCAGCATTGAAGATAACTGGCAGTCTCTATTTAAGCTTCCTGCCACTACATTAAAGGGGAAAGTGTCAGTTGGAGACCCTGTCAGTCACACACACACCCCTACGTATCTCGCATGGATAAAGGAACAGTACATCTCACCTTTGTGGCATGCCATGTCTCACAACGTTCTCACACACACATTATTTCTTTATCATTGTGAACAAGGTAGAACCGGGATGTGAGTAGAGGTGGCAGCTGAGTAAGGATCACACACTCTCATTTTCCTGCTAAGATGATCACACTCAGAAACAGACTCTTCTAAGCAGGACCTTAGAACACGAAGTTTAAGGCGCTCCTTACTCCATGGCGGGCAAATGCAGGGTTTGGATGTGTCCCCCAACATAGTCCCCAAGCATATGTGCTAATGGTATTTGGAGGTGGGGCCTGTGGGGGGAGATGGGTCTATCACACCTCAGTGGGAACCGAGGGAGCAACTCTGCTGTCCAAGGCCCCCTGGCTCGCTTGCTCTCTCTCCATGTGATGCCCTCTGCCTTGTTATGCAGCAGTAAGGAGCTCCTCATGAGATGCCAGCACCGTACTTGTACTTGCTACTCTTGGACTTCCCAGCCAGAAGGACTTCCGTCCTTTACAACACGCCCAGTCATGACGGACAATGGACTAAGACAGATGGTCCCCAAGAGTGACTGCCTTTGCACCTTGCACTCCAGGTGCTTCGTTTACCTGCTCTAGCTCCAACCCTGCTTCCAAGGCCCCATCCTAGGAAATAAGTGGAAAGCTGGCAGCTAGAGCTCACTGGTTTCGCACACTGATAATACACCCAGCACCCACTGCATCCTCTGACTCTGTCTCCCTGAAGAGCTGCCTGTCTTAGTCCTGAAAATGTCACCCCCCACACAGACCCTGTCACACATCTGAGCCAGGCCATGTGGGCAGGAACCCTGGAACACAGGTACCTTGAAAGGGTTCTTTGAGTGTGGATCCTGTGCTGAATTTTGATGTTCCAATCCACATGAGTCTTTTTCCTTCATGTGTTTATCTTCATCTTCATGTTTAGGGCTAAAATGTGAAGAGATGCCAAGGGAAGAGTAAAAATTCGAGTGTTTAGAATTGTGCATAGCTCAGTGGTAGAGCGTGTGCTTAGCTTGCCTGAAGCCATGGCTTCAATCCCCAGCACCAAATAGTGCTCTGCTCAGTCCTAAGGGAAGTGAATGAGAAGAATGTCCTTTAATAGATAGGAATCTTTCTCTTTTCATTTTTTAAGATAAGAGATCAATATCAGATCATCCATACAGAAAGCTTACCTGCTTCGATCCCTGCCAGAGTGTCAATTCCTGCTTAAAAACTTCTAAGTCCCTATCTTTCTTTCCAATCCCATCTCTCTTTTCTCCTTCCTTCCACTTCTGCTTGAGTCTAAACTCTCAGTCACCAAACCCACTGACTCTTTGAGCAACTTTTTTTTTATTAGCTAATTATTTTCAGATATATCCTCTCAATGCTGACAATAAGACATTTCTTGACTAGAGCATCCTACCTCTGCGAAGCCCTCCCTGATTGTCCCAAGCAGTCATGCATACAGTTGCTGCTCCTCTAATGCATTGTCCTTCTGTGTTGTATTACAACCATCTTTCTAGGAGCTTTCATTGCTCCCTCTTTACCTTGCCAGCCAGCCTTTGCTAAGTGAGCACAGCATGGGCCAGGCAGGGATCTGAGAGGAAGCTGGGCCGGATCACCAAGCACTCACTCTGCATCACACGCCTGCAGGGTGCAGAGGAAGCTGGACCAGCTCAGGCACTGGGAATATAACTGACACACAGGGGAAGACTGGCTCAGCCATGAGAGGGTCATGGTCAGACTAATGCTTTTCCTCTTGAAAATAAAACTCACCAGAGTTCTTGATGGAGAAAACTCTTCCAAGGCTGAAAGTAAAGAGGAAAAGTGTCATTGTCACAAATCTCCCCAAATCAGGCTCTGTTGTTTGATTACAGATCACCAGGAGACTAGACCAACAGACAAGGGGTCCGGTGTCAGTAGAGAGCCAAGGCAGAGAGTGGCACGGAAAGCTTTGGGACCTGTCGCCCATGGGGCTGGAGACCAATCATAAAAGCAGCAAGCATTTCTGAAGTTACAGTGTGTGCCTGAGAAGATGCATGATTGCACTTAGAAACATAAATTGCTCTCTGCACACCTTTCTAGGAAAGCATTTTAATAAAGAACTTCTGAGTTATACGAGAGAATACGCAGCCATGGTATCTGAGCAATATTTCAGCAGGAAAAATTGGTGAGATTTCTTCCTTCCTGATGTTGTGTGCCCTGTGATCCAAACTGAGCTCTCACAGCGTCTAGATTTGGCTCCAATGAAACTGCACCCCAGTGATCACAGCAGAGACCCCAGCCTGTCCAGTGGTCACATATCTGATGTTACCATTTGGAATCTAGCCAAACGCTGAAGAAAACACAAAATAAACATCAAAAATAACATTGTAAAATCTAGGAATTAGAGCTCATCTACTCACTGGCCCTGGAAGGAGGCTCTTATTTGACAAACGATTCTAGCAAGTGAGGTGCAGCCCTGGTAGAGAGACAAGCCCAATGGACTGGTCTGCCATGATTCCTCTGGGATACTTTGCTTCTCTGAGCCCTCACTTTCTCCTCTGCAACACGGAAGCAGCAATACCAGCCCTCAGGCTGCCTGTGAGGATTATGTGCTCCCTGTGTAAGCAAGGGCCCGGCACACGGCAAGGTGTTTGACCAGATGAAAACACTGCTGCACACAAAGATGGCCACAGTAGCTAGATGTGATCACTGTCATACAGAAAATCACAGAAGCCAGAGTTGTAAGTGGTGGGAAGGCAACTAGCTGTCTGCAAGGGCCCAAAAGCATCTGTTAAGAGCACAAGCCATGTGTACTCAGCGAGATGTTCAAGAATACTCCAAGTCACCCAGAAAGGATAAAATCAGATCCCACTTACCCTGCTGCAAAATACAAGGGTGACTATAAAAAATTATTGGCAGTTAAAAGATTTACAAATCAAAACTACTCACAAGCCTTTTTTATTCGAAGGGGATAACACCCAGTCATCCGGAGATTCACTCAGCCCAGTGTATAATGTGTTGATTTGCCAGGCAAGTGAAGCATTTTAGCAGATTGTTTCTACTCCCATTAATAAAAACAATAAACATTTTCTTTCCTGCTACAAAGTGTACCTACAAGTGAGCGATCCTTAGCAGCAAGCATAAGAAAACTGAAACAGAGATAAAGGATCTAAACAAAATGTACCCAGCGAGCAAAGCAGAGACTTAACTGACCCCATGAAAACACTAATTAAGTGCCTACTGTGAACCAGGTACTGTACCAAGTGCTTTACACTTGGACTTAGTTCGGTCAGCAATTCCGTGAAGTCAGTACTGGCCCCTTTATTTATTAAGCATCTACTGCTGCAGACACAGTAACAAGAGTGATGTTTCTTTTCCCCATGGAGAATGCTCCATTGTTCAGAGAAGTGAGATGCTCTGTCCCAGGCTCTTACTAGCAGAACATTTATCGGTGTCCACCTTTCATTTACCTTCCCTTTATCCTCACAAGGGCCCTTTTCCAAGTGAGGAAGTGGGGATCTGAGATCATACAATCAGGCCCTGAGATCAAGGCCAGCAGTGAGCCCACTTGGGCCTTAAGTGAATTGCTACAATGCCTCCCAAAAACACCTGGGCCTGCACTCAGTAGCAGCCCAGAAAGTGTCCCTTCAAGGGTCTGCTCATTTTTTTTTTTTTTTTGTAAGCACAAGATCCACAAATGTGGATTGTGCCACAGAACTTTTTCCCGTAGAAGGGAGAATTATTAAAGGCTGGTTGGCACTGGCCGCAACAGCCAAGGGGACAGAAGTAGTCAGATTACCTATTATCTCATTATACATTTTCTGAGTCTGACATCACAGGACTCAGTATTCACAATCCTGGGAGTCTGGAAAACCCTGATGAATGAGGGGAAAACCAAAAACAAGAGACCATTCCTTGCTCACAAAAAGAGTACTCTACATCAAACCTGCATACTTGTTTTAGTTACAACCTTGGTATGGAAAAAAGATGCAATACCTTTTGAAGTTCTTCAATTCCAACTTCATAAGTTGCTGAAATAAACAACACCAAAAAATTACTTCAAAACAGTGTCCATCCATTCCTCACAGCACAGCACAGCATTCATGCAAGATGCACAGTTCAGCGTCCCCACCTTCAAAGCACTGGTCTAGGCGAGCTCTGTGAACATGGTTTGGGAAATCCTGGGGTCACTGATCATGGTTTAAACCTCCGTGGGGCTTTCCAGCCTGGCATTTATAGTCAGTGAAAGCATACAAAACCATCTGAAGTTTCCTGGTTTGGTAATAGATAACATATTCCATACTTAAAAGAAAGCACTGACATTTAGTGATAAAACTTAGAAGACAAACTTGAAAGGAAAAAGGGCTGACTCTAAATCCAACTTTACAAAGTAAACTCCCTATCACATCCCAAAGTCTCATGTTTCCTCAAGCACAGCTTGAAAAGAGGAACTCACCAACCATGGCTCAAATAGCTTCTGATATTTCTCTTCGTTTGGTGGATTTTATTTAGTGACATGATCGCTACCTTAATTATTAATAAATTTAAGGGTGGAAAGAATTGGGGTTCAGATCTCAGTCCTGCTACTTCCTTCCTGGGGCATTTCAGACAAATTACTTGACTCCTTTGAGCCTCAGTTTGCTCATCTGTGAAACCAGACCACTGTTTTTACAGAGCTAAGGGGGAAATTAAAGGGCATGATGTTAGAAATACCATCAGGTAGGAAAGCATCAGATATTGTGTTTCCATAAAACTGCTTACATGGGTCCTTTTTTTCCTTAAAAATATGCTATAAAAGATTTCTCCCTACTGTTAATGAATTTGTATACATAACAACAAGCAGGACTTTTTTTTTTTTTTTTTTTTTTTTTTTTTTTTTGCTGATAGCATCCTCAGGGTTTTGCTCTGAAAACAAGGCAACTCATTGCATTTCTAAATTTTTATTATAAATATGTAATGAATCGATAAAATTAATGAAATCCTAGATTTTTCTTAGGGGCTGTTAATGAATTGTTATAGGCACACAAACCTAAAATTCCGCCTGGATGATTAATACGTATTTCTTGTTGAGTAACTGTACACTTTTACTTTACTGAGTTTCTTTCTCTCTTTTCTCTTTCTCTCTTCCTCTCTTTTTGCTCATGAAACTGGGGATGGTAAACTCCACTGCTGAGCTACATCCCCTACCACTGACTTTTAATTAAAACATTTTATTTAAAACATTTTATTCTGCTACTCTTTGCTTTGTTTAGCTATTCATACGTTCAAAGATATCTGCTTAATATAATTTTCCCCATAGCCATTCCTAGGGTGGATTTTTCTAATTTTTAAAAATGGTAATCTCCCTCCCCCAATTTACTTACCTTTCTGTGCTTTTCAAATATTGAGCAAATTTTGCTTTCATTTGTTTCCCCTGGTCACTTGCGGGGGGGATACTGTTAACTTCTGTTTTTTTATCTTTATTACACTTATTGGTACATATTAGGTATACAACACAGTTACATTCATCATTGGGATCTTGTACCTATACATGACTTATCATGTTTTTATTTTTTCCCCATTCCCTAGCCCTTGCCTCAGCCTCTCCACCCTCCCGTTTACAAAGACAATGTTTCCATGTTATTCCTTTTCACGTGTTTTTTTCTTTTCCCTTTTTACCTTTCCCCTACCCCTCCCACTTCCTCTTTTAGACTTTTCTTCCTATTACACAATACCAAGTATATATTTTAATCCTTATTTACACTTTTACTTTCTCACACCAGAAAAACTATTCAGTATTCACACACGACTTAATTTCACTAAAGAGTATGGCCTCAATGTGCAACCACTTAGCTATAAATCTCTATATTTTCTCATTCTTTATGACAGAGTACTATACCATTTTATAAAGAAACTACATCTTCTTTATCCAGTATCCAGTTGATGGGCAATTGGGCTATTTCCATACTTTAGCTATTGCAAACTGTACCACTATAAACATGGGTGAGCATATATCGCTGTGGTATGATTCTTTAAATTCTTTTGGGAAGATGCCTAGCAGAGGAGTTATTGACTTTTGTATAAGGCATGAGAATTAGCTCAAACTTTATTTTTCTAAGCTATCATTATCCTATTTCTCTGACATCAGACTTAAAAGGCTATCTTTCCTCTGTTGATTTGTGTCTTTGTAAAGAAAAAAAATCAGTTTGGCTTATTTTCACAGGTCTATTTCTGGGTTCTCAGTCCTGTCCCACTGTTCTCAGTCTGCACACCTACCACACACAGTCTGGATTACTGGATGTGTAAGTGTTGAAGCTGGAGAGACTGATACTTCTCACTCTGTCTTTTGCAAAATTGATTTTGGTTCCTCTGTTTTTCCATATTCACTTTAGCACAATCTTGTCCATATCCACAAAACATTTTTCTGGGATTTGCATAGGAATGACCCTGAAACTGTATATCACCTAAGAAGAATTGATGTTATTACTGTTAATTTTACTGTAGTGAGTCTTTTACTCCATATACATGGTAATTCTCTCTACCCATTTAGATTTTGATTTAACCTGAATTTTATAGTTTTCTGCATATAAGTCTTACATATGCTGTTAGATTTCAGTGTAAATATTTTTGAGAGACTGTAAAAGATATTTTAGCATCCATTGTGTTCATAGCTAGTATATAAAAGTACAATTTTATCCTGTATGCTTGCTGAACTCATTAGCTCTAGGAGAGCTTGGAGGATTTTAGATTTGTTTGCAAATTCCTTAGTAATTTCTTCCTGGACAATGTCACTGCAAGTAAAGGTTGTTTTATTTCCTTTGCTTTGATCTGTCTTTTATTTCCTTGTTTGCTGGATTTTGTTGGCTAACTTCTCAGTACTACATTGAATGGGAATGGTAAAAGGGCATTCTTGCCTCGTTCCCAGTTTGGGAAGGTGTGTTCTGTATTTATCTGTAAGCATCACGTTAAGCATAGGCTTTTTGTAAATATGTTTATCAAGGTGCGGAGGTTCACTGACTAATTTTTCCAAGAATTTTTGTATCATGGATAGGTGCAGAATTTTGTTCAATGCCTTTTCTTCATATATTGTATAAGGTGATTTCACTGAGTATTGAACCAGATTTGCATCTCTCACATAAGCTGCATTTTATAATGCTGCATAATTCCTTTTACTTCCTGATGAATTCTACTGGCTGATACTCTGGTTAAGGATTTTTATGACTATTAGAGGAAGAACATTAGAGGTTTTCTTTTTTTGTATTTTTTTTTCTGCCTGTAGGAGCAGGGTAATACTAACTTTATAGAATGAATCAAGCAGCATTTTCTCCTATTTTTCTGGAAGAAACTATGTGTAATTCTTCCTGGTGTTAACTCTAAATATTTGGTAGCATTTTCCAGTGAAATAGCCTGGATTTAAAAATTATTGGGGGGGGGCTTTTAAAAATTATACATTCAATTTTTCTTAAAACTTACAGAGCTACTGATATTATTATTTATTTTGGGTAAGTTGGGGTGGTCTGTGCTTTTTAAGGAACTGTTCCTTTTTTGAGTTGTCCAGTTTATATGTACACAGTTCTTTGTAATATTTCCTTATTATCCTTTGATATCTGCAGGGTGGGTGATGATATCTCTATGTCATTCTTGATATTAATCTATCTTTTCTGGCCTTCTTGCTAGAGGTTTGTTAATTTTAATTAGCTTTTCGAAGAATAAACTTTATAGCTTTCATCGGTTTTCTTTACTCTTCTTCTGGTTTCAATCTCATTTATTTCTGTATGTTTGTATCTTTTCTGCTATCTCCTTTGGGTGTATTTTGTTCTTTTTCTACGTTCTAGATGAAATACCTTAGATTGGTAATTTGAGATGTGTTTTCTTGAAAAAACTTTTAAATTGATAAGTAAAAAAAAAAAATATATATATATATTTATTTATTTATGGTGTACAAGACGACACTTTGACGTATGTACATTTCATGGAATTGCTTAATCAAGCTATGTGACATATATATCACATGCTTGTATTTTATAGTAAGAACACTTGAAATCCACTCTAACAGTTTTAAAGCATACAGTGTAATGTCATTGTAGTCACTATGTTGTACTTTAGGACTTCTGAACTTATTTCTCCTTCCTGAGAGTTTGTTCCAACTGAACTTCTCCCCAGCCCACCTATACCTCAGCTGTTGGTAAGGATTTTACTTTTGGTTTCCAGGAGACTGACTTTAGAATCCACACGTGAGTGTAATGTCGTACTTACATTTTCATGCTGGGTTTAATTTATTGAACACAGCACCCTTCAGGTTCATGCATATGGTTGTGAATGACAGAATTTCCTTCTTTTCAAGGCTGAATAGTATTTTATCATGAATCCATGTCACCCTATCTGTTCATCAGTCAATAGATCGACACTTAGGTTGATCTAGATCTTAACTACCGTGAACAGCACTGCAATGAACACAGGAGTACAAATATCTCATCCACATATAGATTTCATTTCCTTTAGATTTATACACAGATGTGGGGTAACTGGAGCATATAGTTAATTATTTTACAGTGTTTTGAGGAATTTCCATATCATTTTACATAACTGATGATAAAATACTTACATTTTATTAATACTCCCACATTTTGAATTTTGTCCCAGTTTACATCTTTTTATATTGTATACCCCTTTATCAAATTATGATAGCTACTGTTATTTTTTAATAATAGTTTTGCCTCTTTCTTATAGGTATCCCTTAAAATTCATTCTTCAATTTCAGGGGACACAAACTGGACACATCTCACATCTAACAGGTTGAGAGCTGTATTTTCTCCTATGTCATTTTAACCTTCATACTAAAGACAAAAGTGATTTATACCCCATTGTTACAGTATTAGAGGATTCTAAATTAGCTGTGCTTACTTTTCCCAGTGAGTTTTATACTTTCCTATGTTTTCATGGTACTAATTAGTATCCTTTTCTTTCAGTTTGAAGACCTCCCATTGGTGTTTCTTGTGAGACAGGACGACTGGCGATTAAGCCCCTTTAAGATTTGGTATTGGGGATCAAACTTGGGACCTTATGCTTGAGAGCCAGGTGGTGGAACCACTGAGCTAAATCCCAGGCCCAAGCCCCTTTAAGATTTTGTTCCTCTAGAACAAGTGAGGGCAAAAAAGCCTGTGTCCTTCATTTTCCCAGAGGGAGCTACAGAGTGGCTCTTTAGAGAAAGTCAAGGAAAGGGATGGGAACACATTCCAGAATCCATCTGACCACAGGCTGCAGCTGCCCTGTTTCTCAGTGCTCAAAAGTCAATTCCTATCCCCGCCAGAGCCATCCTTCTGGAGGAGAAGCCCTTCCCACTTTCACTACCAGCACTGTGCTCTGTTGCCACTTCATTGGATCAGTACTTTATTTCATGCCTTTCTCTTCCCAGTAATAAACCCTCACCTCTTTGGCAGCACTGTCTTTAAAATACAAGGATTCCTTGGGCCCCAGGGATTTGGCTCAGTGGTTCCACCGTCTGTCTAGTAAGTGCAATGGCCCGAGTTTGATCCCAGTACCATTAAAAATAAAAAAAATCTGAAAATATGAGGATTCCTCAAGGGAAGACAGAGGAGAAGCTGGTCCTAGTGATTCCTTCTTTGAGTATCTAAAATGGCACCTCCAGAAGGCTCACTTGTTAGAATTGTAGCCTGGAGAAAATAATGCAGGTCTCTGGTCCAGCTTCCCACATTTGACCCTCAGTCTCCCCTTATTTCCTGAGAAGCCTGCATGTGTCCAAACCTCCTCACCAGCACCACCCTAACCACACAAAGAACTTTCCCTGGAGCCCCACTGGACATGAGGAAGAACTTAGGGAGGCCTTGGAGAGCCTTTCAAAGGGTTCTGGGGCCAGAAGTCTCCCATGGCTGAGAGAGAAAGTGCAGGCCGTGACTGAGGAGCCCTTGGCCTTAGGAGCCTTTAGCCTTGGAAAAAGGCAAGAGTTAGAATCTGGCTCAAATGCGGCACAGAGCTTTTCTACCGGTGAGTTGTGCAGACCAGCAGCATCTGCATCACCATGGCCTCACTAGAAGTACAGACTGCCCTGCCTTATGCCAAAGCCAGTGAACCACAGTCCATATTTTGACAAGATCCCCAGGAGATGTGTGTGAATGCTTAAGTGTAAAAAGCTTGTTCAAAGTGGGGCAAGGGGGTACCCCATTACAGGGCATCATTTGCCCTGTTAAGGGCAGGACTCACTTTACTGATAACTAGTATTTTATAGCCGTGTGTAAGAATCTGATCTTTACCCAGTTCAGCAGAGAGGAAATTTTCTAGCCCTGCAACCTCTTATTTCTTGGGCTAGAGGCTAGAAATTTCAAGAGACCCTCTCTTAAAATTTACCATATACATTTATTTGTCCTTTCACATTGTCAGGTGAAAAGAAAGAGCAGAGAGTCATAAGTTACCTGATATTTCTGAATGGCCCTGAAATGCATTAATAACTAATCTATAATCTTATAGCAAAGATGGGTACTCATTCTGAGTTGATGAACTTCCTAAGTGTATATTCCTAGGACGATAGCTTCCTGTCCCAGAACACTGAGCTTCTTTTGTGTGTGATGGCTAGACGAGATGCCCTCTCTTTAACCTTCCTTCCAGGGAAACCACTTCCTTGGGTGAGAAGCAGCACACGTTACTGCTGTACCACGTATTACGGACGTTCTTCATTTAACCACCCACCTGTTTAGAGACTGTTCAGACTTACGACCCGTGTTTAGATTTATAAGGCAGGAAGATGAGCAGCAGTGCAGCTTTATGATGGCTTCTGTAGGACAGTACTGTAATTTTGGCTGATTGTACTGTAGTTTTATGTTGTTATATATTACAGTACTGCACATAAGAGTTATGCAAATAAAAGCAAAGTCAGCAAGCTGGAGTTTCCTTTGACCATTTCTTTGCATTGAATATTGTAATGTACCTGCTACCTACAGTTCCTCATTTAATACTTGATTCATTGAATGACCTAGTTGCAGGAACGGGACTTCATCATCAAATGAGAAATATCTGTACTTGTATGACTTCCTGCAGCTCAACCTCTCTGATCCTCAGTTTCCTGCCTGTAGCAGCAGGGTGATAAAAACTCTCTGCCAGCAGGCAAATACACAGGACCAAACTTGGAGCCACAGTCCAGAGTCCAGAGTCTAGGCTCAACAAATACTCCTTTTTATTACAGCTCTAATATTGATGGATTTTTGTAGATGACTGGGTGATTCGGTGGGCAGAGCAAAGACACTGAAATTTGTAGAAATGTTATGAGTCCCCGATTCATCTCTTTGGTACTAGGGATTGAACCTCGGGCCCTTGCACTTGCAAGGCAGGCTCCAGAACCACTGATCTAAATCCCCAGCCCCTGATTCATCTTTTTACCATTTTTTTTTTTAACAAAAAGGTCTGAGCCCTGTCATCAATACCAGAGGCCAGAAGAGTTAGTTCTGAGTCAGCAGTCAGACCCATTAAACTCCCTTCTCCTATCCAGCTTGGACAAGGAGGTCTAATTCTCATGGTCTGTTATCTCCCTCTACACACACCGAGGAACCGGGGATGTCAAGAAAGATACCAAGAGGAGAGAGATGAATTTTCTATAGGAGGAGAAGGGAGAAAAATGAATCACTGTACCTTGATTTTTTTTTTCTTCCCACATATCTACAAAGGGCAAAGCAGCTGAATCGATTGGTGAAGAAGAGAAAATAAATAGTGGAAATGGCAGGAACAGGAGTCATGAAGAGCATCAATGCCCAACTTATTTATATTTTGAAGACATCAGACATAGGAAAAATAGAAATGAGATGGCAGAACAGAATGACTGTGCCTTTCTTAGTTGCAGTTAGCTACAGGGAAAATACCATTTCTGACACATTTTTATTCCACACAGGGTTACGATATTAATTGGCTTAGCAGACTTACATTCAGCAATTTCTTCTGCAGTGCACAGGTTAATGGAGTCGCCAGAGTGTCTCAGATATGAAATTGTTGCCTCGTAATTATGTGGCTCTTCAAATTCAGCACTGAGAATCATGGAGAGAAAAAAGGTTACTCACAGTAAAACATTTCTTTAAGCACATTTTAAAGGTCTTTGTATTTTTTTCTCCTTAGAGAAGTAATGTACGCCTGGCCCATATGGTACTCTAAGCGGATAAGGAAAGCACCCCCATCCCTTAGATCCATGGGCATTCTGGGTGAAACAGAACAGTGTGAAATACCGTGTGATGATTACACAGCTCACGTAGAAATCAGTACAATAACATGCTCAGGTTCCACACATAATGAGGAAACCCATAATAAAGAGAGGCAAGAGGGGATTGCTAAGGGTCTCCAGGGGAAACTGAGGCCAACTATGGATAGGATGGAATGCCTGGGCAGCCAGGGTCTTCATGGTGGAGTCAGAAAGGAAGTCGGAGGACCTCATTCGAAAGCTAGGCTGTAAATGAAAGCACACAGAGTCCAGGTCACGCAGTGCTGCTCCAGCTGTACGACACTTTGGGAAAATACCTGTCCATTCTCCCAGCGAATGCACAGTAAAGCCTGTTCTCTGACTGCGGCCCTCAGAGCAGCAAGGGTCAGCTGCGAGAACTCTATCTCAAAGCCCAGCACCGTGTGTAAACGTGGAGTCTAAATTCATTCAATCTGCGTATCTCAGAGACATAAAGCCCACTCTGGCACTTGAAATCAAACCTTCCTTGTTAATACAAATCTGAAATAATTCCATAAAGATGCTTCTACAACCCAGGGTCCGTAGGCTTCTAAAAGAAACAGTCCCCTCTTAAAACCAGCTTAGAATGAAGGACCAAACTGCGCAAAAAGGTGAGGCATCATGGGAAGGTCTGTTGGTGCAGCTCATGGGGGAAAGGAATGATAGAATAACATGAAAGGCAATTTAAAATAAGTGTGTTTCAAGCGTCTGGTGAAATACAGTGAGTAATAAACACTATTAGGTAAAAACAAGAGATTGTCAAAAAAATAACTTGTAGATTTAGGGACAGGAAAAGAGAGGGTTGAAAAGCATAAACATGGTTCTTGGAATAAAGAAATTACTGCAGAGGCTGAAATGCAGCAGAAGAAAGAACTGGTAAATTAAACTTATTCAACCTGAGGAAATCACCTAGAGTTGTAGCACAGATAAATTAAAAGGAAATATGAAAGGAGAAGCGAAGAGAAGGTGGACTGGACTGTGAAGGCCCAGCGTACCTGTGCCAGGGTGCTGCTGAGAGAAAAGAAAGGAGGACGAGGAGCCAGGATTCAAATGACAATAGCCACAACTTTTCAAACTCGAAAAGGACCAAAATTCCTCTACTGAGGCAGCTTCAATAGTGAGAAATAGTAAATCCACACGTGCAGTTTGTAATAAATTAGTACAACTCAAATAAAATGTGAAAGCTATGTGGGAGGAACTTTATCTATTAAGGACAGAAGTCAGACTGGCAATGGACTATTCACTGGTAAGTACTGTGGGGCTCATGGATAATATCTCAACACACGGAGAAAAGGAAGCTGTCGATCTGGAATTCTGTTCCAGCTGAATTACCATCCAAGAGTGAAGGGGAAGCAAAGATGCGCCTGGAATGCAAGGACATGCATTTATTACCTGCGTGTCTTTGCTGAAATGTACCAGTGTGATGCATTTTGGGTGAAAGAAACTGAACAAGCAATTAAAGATGATAGAACAATGACGAACAAAGAAACTTATAAAGCTATTGGTAAGTCTAAGTGAATGTTGACTGTAAAAATTAATAATTTGGAGTAGTTTGAAATAAAATGGAATTGAAGTATTAAATATTTACATGGAAGGTAGTGGCAGAAGGCTATGGAAATCACTCTCAGAATTTTGGATTTAGAAGTTAGGCAGAGATTTTTGACTATCATTAGGCACTGTTAACTATAAATGTCCACATTTAACTGTAAGCACTAAAAAGAATGGAAATAGAATATTTAATTTCTCAACTGTGGAATATTCAATGGAAAAGCTTAAATGTTTTTAAAGGGTAGAGAAGAAAAATACACATACAGAAACGGCATGAATTTTAATGGCAAACAGTCCAAAATAGATAAAAATTATAATGAATGCACATAGAATTAGCCTACTTCAAATAAAATAAACTATATCTGAATGGATGGCTTAAAAATCCAGCTTATGCTGCTAAAAACATAAATGAATGGAAAAAGAGACCCAAACCAAATACTACCAAAATAAAACTAAAATAGGTTTATTAATACGAGATCAGACACTGGGAGGACTGATGGAGAAAATGAGAAAGTAAACCCAAGTGCAAACACACACACATCAAAGAGAAGAAGGGAGACAGAAGAGTCAGTTTTAGTTTTTCAAAAATCCAAGAAAATGTTATGATCAGTTCTCTGCCAATAAATTTGAAAATTTAGAGAAAACTAACAAATTTGTATAGAAATATAAACTTACCATATTGTTGGAAGACGAAACAAACAAAAATCCCAGCCGGCCAAGAAATCCTTTCAGGGCTTGGATTAGCAACACTGCACACACGCGTCCTTCTCTCTACCCGCCTTCACCCTCGTACTACCTCTCCTTTTGCTCCTTACCAAATGATTCTATCAGCAAGTTTTATTAACATTTTCTGAGAACAACAAAAAAAAAAGAAAAGAAAAAGAGGAAAAAACTACTCCTTTAGAGAATAATATAATTTTGTTATGCAAACCGCAAAATGATTAGACAATATAAGAAAAATGTGGCTCACTCTCGAGACACTGTAGCCCAAATCCACTTAATAACATCCAGGAAAGATGAATTAATTGGTATTAAAAATAACTCAAGTGGGTCGGGGATGTAGCTCAGCAGCATAGAGCCTTCCTGGCAAGTGCAAGGTCCTGACTTTCATCCCCAGAACTGGAATTTATTCCAAGTCATCAAGGGTGGCTCAACATCAGAAGATGTTATCAGTATACTGATAATCACTCTTTTAATAGCAGGGAAAAAATAGACTATTTTAATAGACACCAAAAATTCCATGGAGTTAGACTTTCTTAACTAGATTAACCTTCAATGCCTTTCATACTTAATGGTGAACTGTAACAAAGGGTTACTATCCACATAAACTCAATTGAAGCCTACAGGAAAGGAAAAAGACAAACCCATGAAAAACTGGACAAACGTACATGACAGATATTACACAAGAGTAGAAGTGACTACCTAAATTCACAGTAAACAAGGAAATGGATAGCAAGACAATAAAAATTTAGTTTACACCTACCAGATTAGCAAGGTTGTACTTGGAAAGTTAATACCTCATTTGTCAAGGAAATAGAGAAAAAGGAAATCTTTACACTACTTTGTAAGACTTGGCACAACGGTTTTGGAGGATAATTTTTTAGTACCCAGTAAGATCAAAGTTGCTTACTTACTATCATTTAGCAATTCTATTTCTAAGTAAATAGCCTTGAGAAACTTGCTTATATTCACCTAGAAACCTAGGAGGATGATTACTGCAGCATTATTTGAAATGGTGAATGCTTAAAACAACCTAAATGCCCCTCAGTAAGGGAATACATAAACTGTTGTGGGTTCATTTGATGAAACACAGAATAGCAATTATAATGAATAAACTGGACTTAACATGCACCAACACAGAATATGAGAATTGCTTTGTGGAGAAAAGTGGCCAAAGACAAATTGAGATGTCATATAGACAAAAATTTAAAATACCATACCTTTAACAGTTTATAGTTCAAGGATAATGAATGACTAAAAAGACACACTCCTAATTTCATGATAGGAGCTGGCTCAGAGGAGAAACAGAACTATAGAGGAACAAAGGAAGGCTTCCACTGAACACAACATCATCCTGAATGTGGCTAGTCCAGCGGAGAAGCAATCACCCTTCATCCTATCGCCTACACACAAAAGAGCACTTGCATTCTGGGGTTCTGATTTTTCCCCATTTATGTGCCTGTTCATATAGATGCTGTCATAAAAAAATAAAAGGATGGGGATCCTCTCTTTCCTTTTGCTTTCCCATTATTATTACATCATAAGCATTCTCCACCCAAATCTTTCCCTCCTTTCCCTCAGTTCCTTGTACGTATTCTCTATAGTATTTTCAAAGATATAGAAACAGTTCATTTTGCTGGAAAAGAAAAATGGCAAATTCTAATGCTTCAATAACTTCTCCCTTCACATTTTTGTTCTCTCCCTGAATGAAGTAATTGGGAGAAACTTTCCTAAATTATAGGCTGTGCCATATATCTCCTGCTCTAATGGTCTAACAACCTTGTCGAGTCCATGGTAAATTAACTTTATTAATAAGAAACAATTTATGGAAGAATTGAAAGAAGATGTCTAATCAATTTCTTGTACGGCTTTTGTCAGAAATGACTAAGTATGTGCCTTCGCATGGTCATAGAGAAAGAATTCCAACCAAATGTTTTTCTTACAAAAAGACAACCTTCAGATCAATTGTTTTTACAGAGTGGCAGGCCCAAGACTAATGTTAGAAGGGGAAAAAGGATATTGCAGGCATATTTAAAATTTCTTCTTTGCTCTCTGAGAATGCCTTTTATCTTTTTTTTTTCTAGTGCATTAAAGCTAAGTCTGAGATCCACCTTGATTTTATACTGTGCAGATCAATATAAAGAACTTGGGTTGCACAGAAGAAATAACTGTGATTTAAATTTATCTATGCTTCTACTTCTTTATTTCTGAAAAATATCTGTCTCCAGGACTATAGAGCTATAGGGAGAGAGCACAGAATAGAAGCCAGGCTGCAGGTATGGTGTATTTGAGCTCTCTTCCAACTTAGACAGTACTGGGTAAATACTTTAAACCTCCACTTCCCACTGTACAAAGCAGTAATAATAAAACCTACTCGGGCCTGGGATTTAGCTCTGTGATTCTAGCATCTGCCTCGCAAGCACAAGGATCTGAGTTCGATCCCCGGTACCAAAAAAAAAAAATAATAATAATAAAACCTACTTTCAAGGTATAATATGGGTACCAAGTGAAGGACTCGCCTGCTGTGTACAGCATTCCACAAAGCTA